TATATATATATATATCACTCCCCGCTGCCCGCATAATTAGATGATAGAACAACCGATTATATTAGTATTACCAATAAAAAAATTTAAAATGCTCGCAATCTGCAGTAATCAAATTAATTTTTGCAATAATAAGTAATATGAATGGAGTGTAAGTGGGAAAAGCAAACTTGAGTTTGTAAAGGAAAAATATTAAGTAATCTTACCGCAAATGGCAAAAAAGAAAGCGAACCCAAGAGGAAGCAGAGAAGTCTATTGATACGTTTAGCATTTGAAACTCTTGCTTTCTCGTTCATGGTGGAATCTCAAGGCTATAAAACTCTGTTTATTTGTCATGAGAGTGTTCAGGAACCATTAGTGGGGACCGGGAAATAGGAATATAACCGTCAGTTGATGAAACGATGGTTTAGTTATATGAAAAAAAACTGTTTAAGAATCGGTGTTTGCGTTTTTTGAACGTTTGGAGTAGTAATTAATAGACTTTAAGTCTTACAACCAGTGACGAAGCCAGAAATTTCATTTAGAGCGTTCAAACTTTAAAGAAATATAAAAAATCTCCAATAAAGGATGTTCAATATATGTTATATATCACTAAAATCTAATATTCTACCTATATATACCGTGTAAATTTTCGATAAAGGGTAGTGAATTGGGACTACGTAGCTTCGCCCATGCTTACAACAGGATAAATTAAAAAATATACTAACAAGAAAGCAAAAAAATTAGAAAAAAGATAAATGGGAATGATGGTTTAAATGAAGTGCCAAGTCATCTTTTATGTTCCCTCAATTATATATATTGATGATTTTGGAGGAAATTAGTGCTTAAATCTGTAAGTTGGTCAAAACGTGAAAAAACATTTCAAGAACCATGCCAAGTCAAACGCCTATATAGCAGAATACATCAACAGCCCCTCAAACTTGTCAATACATTTCATTTAGTCACTCAAATTAAGGCATATCATGATTGAACACCTGAACAAATGATAAAGTAGTCCTATTATACATTTCCAGTTCAAACTTTGGAAAAACTTATGCGTGTTCTCAAGCACCCATTACGTGAATAAGTTAACCACCTAAAATATGACACCTCCTTTGATAATATACATCACATATAAGGCCTTTATAACAAACAAAAAGAAAAGACATGTCAGATAGAAGGAACCCAAACAACTGAAAACAAACTCCCCCCGTTAAAGCAAGAGTCATTTCCCAAAAATCTCCCCAACGAATGTCTAATAGGAACAGTTTATCATATATTCAGGTGCTCAACTGTAATAGCCCTTAGTGTCTAAAGGAAATATTCTATTATGTTTAAGAGGCTGTCGATGTATTCCACCAAAACTAAGATACTATAATTTATTATTTGAATTGACTAGTAAAAACTAATCCACTTCACCTAAACTATCCATGGCCACAAGAACAAACTAGTAAAGACCAGACTAGGGTCTAAGAAAATTGATAACCAAAACTTATCTTCAATTAGCGAAGTTGAAGCTGCTGCAACTATTCTTCAACTAAGAGATATATGTGTTCCATTTAACAAGGTAACAGACTGACCACCAAATCCGCACCCCCCATCCCCCAACGAGACGCTACCAAGGAAATTCGGTAATCAACCAAACAAGGTTATGCATCAACAGAGAAATTAGCAGCTTGACCACCTGAAGCATGAGGGTTGTAATTCCCACCAACAGTACCCCTTCCACATCTTTCCCTATAATTGTTGTTATGGCTCTTCTGGTAGTAATTACCAGATTGATCATAGTATTGGTTGCGGCCATTCTGGTAGGACCCTTCCCTGCCATGCCCTCCATGACCATTAGAATATCCACGACGGCCTCCTCCATCCCCATTGTGATGACCCCTGTAGTTCTGATTCTGATATGACCGTCGGGGAACAGACTGTTGCTCCTTGAAATTCATATCTTTCAAATTATTAACACCTTCCGCCTCAGGTGTGACCTCTTCTGCTTCAGCAGGCAATTCAGACAAGTTTTCCCCTTGTACCCCCTGCAACAAGTAATTCATATGTCGAATAAATCTATTGAATAAAAGCACTCAAGGACAATCTGCTTGATATAAGATGGATACCTGCTGGATTTCTTCTACAGTGCTAGCATGCATTTCATTAGTATGATTTCCTTGAGAACTTAAGCACTCTTCTTCCTGAAAAACATTTAATGCTGGATGTTGGATAAAGACAGAAAGGATAGCGAAGTACTTCCAGAAAATAAATAAAATCAGAAGAAACGAGTTACAAAAGCATCTATACATATTCAGTTCTAAATTATGGTCGAAACAATCAATCACGGAAGCCTCAATCCAAAATTTATGTGCTGTGCAATCAATGAATCAATTGTCTTAATGCTAAAAAATAAATACAATAAACACTTTTATCTGCAAACAGGGTGTTGCCCAGCGGCCTTTTGAAGTAAACCCTTTTGTTTCCGGGATGAGTCAAAATAAACTATTAATAACACAACAAGCTGGTGTAAGCAGTAGAACACATATATTATCGCTATATCTCAAGCGTCCCAAAAGTCTAGCCAACTATGCAAGTAGGTGCAAAATGAAGTAAAAACTTGTATGCTTTGCTAGTAGAAAAGGTTATTGGATAATCAAGGTCAGCAAGTTCCTTTTGATGAGGTTCACTAGTTCATTCTCTCATTGAGATGTAGTTTGAACTACGCGGAATTTTCTATACATGAAGCAGCCGTGTGCAAGCCAGAATTTCTATACATAAAGCAGACGTGTGCAAGCCAGAATTTCTATACACGAAGCAGACATGTGCAAGCCAGAATTTCTATACATGAAGCAGACATGTGCAAGACAGAAAGATGCAGGCAAATTTATTTTTGACCAGGTTTTAAAGCAGCTTTAGCCTAGACTTGTGAGCAATTTATGATCTTATCATAAATTGTTGCACACGTTATGAATGTCTACATTTTTTATTTATTTCCTAAGTGCTTTGTTTTCGAATTATGTAAATTTTAAAGTTTTTAAAACAAAACCGAGAAAAGATAGTGTGCTAAGAGTGGGTTGGTTTATTAACACCGGTACCCCTAGTAATGCTGCTCGGTGGGCCGGGCCTGAACCGGACCGGACCGGGCCCGCGGTCCTAACGGGCNAATTCAGTAGCTTAAATCTTTAGGAAGCTACAATAGATAGTTCAAGTAAAACATGAGTAGGAGTGTCAAATGAGCAAGCTGGCTCAAATTTGGACTAATTAAATTGACTTGAACTGATAAACAATGTATAACCCAACTTGCCCAAAGTCTACTATGGCCAAAATGCATTGGGCTAAATATTCCATCATAACCAAACCCGTCCAGCTTACCCAATCTCCCTTTGGAGTGAGAAATTGGCATGAAGCTGAAGCTATTGAACTTGACAGAGGTGCGGTACATTACTTTGACAGAAAAAAAAAGCATCACGTGGATCAAAACTCATACATTTGGATGTTATTTAAATAAAATCCAATAACTATTTATGCAAATATGATTGCCCAAAAAGAATTCCATGTAAGTACATATTTGCATTTTTTTTTATGTCAAGGACGTCTAGAGAAGCAGAAATACATGGAGAATCCAATTAAATCTTCTATGACCTGTGTAATAACAAACAAGAACGTCGTGTGACTAGTAGTTTGGGTGTACAGTAGACAACAGATCACTGTAAAAAGGCAGTCCAATGCACAAAGCATCCCGTAGGGTCCGGGGAAAGGCTGCATACCAATGAGTGTGATGTAGACAACCTATCCTAATACAAGCATTTTTGGCTGCTTCCACGGCTCGAGCCCGTGACCTATAAGTCACACGGAGACAATAAATCTCTCTACTATTGAAAAAAGTATTTTTACATCCATGCTTCAATGCTTGATCCAAGCAAACACAAGCCTAAAATACACTTAGTACCGAAACATTTTAGAACTTTAGAGATTGTTTCAATGGGTAAATACATGATAAGGTAGTATAGTTTAACATATCAACACAAAAAGAACCACAAAAAGTTGAGTCCTACAGATGAACACACACAAAACGGAGATGTAAAGGAGTGACGAAGTTGTCTTTACAGTTCAGTTTGGTAGCTATTTTTCAAATGAGAACGCAAGCAATGGATTGAACAAGGAGGTGGATATGAATACGCGAAGCAAAGGTAAGAGTTAGTCTTTCTTCTTTTTTTTTTGATCAGTAGGTAAGGGTTAGTCTTTTCATTGCCCTAACACAAGTGAGGCAAAAGTACTGGTGATAGCCCTAAACGCAAGTACCACGGTTCAATGATAGGCTTTTCCTACTTCCAACAATTTAGGAGAAGCCTAGTTATGTAAGGGTTAGTGTGCACATTACCTTACGCCTAGTAATGTAACATCATAACAAAGAGGGATGTCATATGAATGACAATGGGAACTCTTAAGTAGAATGAAGAATGAAAGACAATGGAAACATTTAAAATCATTTTCATACCTATGCAAAATCATAAAGCAAATACAGTAAGTCGCTTACGTAACATGCAATTTTAGAAGAGAGTCTCCCTACTTCTAAAATCACAAGAGGCAATTTTCAAGTCATCCCTTTTCTTCTAATTTGACGACTTTTTAGCAATTGTTTGAATTTGACAGCAAATATACCTTCTTGATAACTGTTCCAACTTCTGAAACAATTACGTTATATGTGCATTGTACAGTAGCAGCTGACATTTGGAGTACATTTATATCAGTTTTTAGACTTGCCTGGGTCATGCCAAACAGTATCAAGGAGGTTTATAAGAGTTGTAATTCATGGAGAGTTGCGAAGTCCATCAAAAAAAACTTGGCCAACGGTGCCTGCTGCTATCTTTTGGTGCATTTGGAATGAAGGGAATCATAGATGTTTTGATGGGATCTTAACCCCTAACCATTCTCTTAAAACTGTTTGTTTAATTAACTTATTTAGTTGGTTCAATCAGGATTTGTCTTCTCCTTAGTTGTGCACTAAGTTTTTGTTTATGTGCAGTCGCTTCCTTTTAGTTGTAATTTTTTGCTATGCATCTTTTTGGTGCCATTTAATGAAATTCCCTTCGGGGAAAAAAAACTAGCAAGCAACCTTTAACCTTTTCATAAAAAAAAAATAATATTAGCAAGCAAGTTTTACCAAAACCTTCAGCAAAGGACGCAACAATTTTTAGCAAAATAAACTAATGTCAAAATAACTTTCATAAGCAACTCATGGCCAACTATACCATCCGAAATCAACAAGTTCTTGGGATGGTATCTTCTCCATAAAGTGCCTAGAAGATTAAGATTACTAATTAAATAAGTGAGTCATCTATAATTCTACCATTCACAATTCTTCAATTAAGCAACCCTATTGCACCAAATTCTCATTATATTGCTAAACTAGCTTTAGCATAAATGTAGAAAATTTCAAACCAAGCCCCTCTTCTGGAACAGGGAAAGAAAAATCAAATGACAGCCTCATAAGTACGACTTATGAAATCTCATGAAGTAAAATCAATATTGGCACATATAAACATCAAGACACCTCCCAAGAAAGGAGGGAGGGGAGCTTGGAATATGAAGTACATTTTTTTAACATTGTTTAGAAGTTAATTGCTGGCATTGCAAGGGTTTAAACAACATAACTTCAACAATTTTGTTAATTAAAGTTACTATACAGCAACGGAAAACAAGGGCTAATCATAGGAAACTAGCTAAGTATTCACACATAACAACAGCGAAAAGAATAATTTAAAAAAAAGATAAAAATATGTCAACCTTATTAGATGTTTTTCAACACTTAAAACATTGCCCAAGGTCATTAGAGGTTTTACTTCAGTAAGAATTTACCTTCTGCTGACTCTGCATAGCAATCGTGTGCACTTGCACGGGTTCATTGACAGGCACAGCACCCACAGACTCTTCTATGGGCACCGAGTATGGCCCATAGTTCGCAGCTGATGCCTCCACTTTAACAGGGTCCGTAGTAAAATATAGTGAAGACATTATTCTATTTAGCTTCGATTTCAAACCAGCATCTGTAAGCAAAAACAACCAGCTAAAACTACAAGCATCTACACCATCTCAAAACCACCAAAAACCACCAAAAGATTGATATAGCTAGCTTTAAAATCCCTTTTGTCCTAATACGTAAGTTATTACATAGTAGATCGAAATAGGTCCAAGTGGAACAAAAATGGATATAGATATTCCTCTAGCCCGTCCGAATGACTTTGCAAATACGTATCTAGTAAAATTCATCAAACAAATTGGATATATCTAGTTTTAGAGGATCTCAAATTTTGTCAAAAAAAGATAAACCATTGAGTAGTATATAAAAAGGACCCAAATATTATAGAGAATTCATATAGCCGACTCCAGCTAGTTTGGGAATTTCTATATACTCACAAGTAGCATCGGAATCAGGTACAATGGGCTGATCAGACTTGGTAAGCCAAAGCTTCGCGTGCTCAATGCATTGTTGAAGGGCACGCTTGTGCGACAAAGGAGAATTAACAGGTCGAGAAATTAATAGCCCACTGAGCATTGAAATTAAGTCCAAATCCTTCTCCCCCAATAGATCTATCACATCACTGGATTCGTCCTCCTGCATACAATCATAGTTAAGGCAACAAGCTCTCTCATGCGTCCTCGTCAGCAGTGTAGCCGTAGAAAAATCACTCTGTAACGACTTCACATCAAACATACAGCCAAAATACAACAGATAAAGTAAATCCTCAACACACATTATCACTTCCCCCTCTCCCTCATTCTTCGAATTATTATCTGGCGGGGCAGAAACTGACGTGGCGAGGTTGATTTCTTCAGCGACAGCGGATGCAAGAGGCTCGCGAAGCTTCTCGAGCTCGTCGATGCCGGCGATGACGGAAGGTTTTGAGCGAAGAGTTTCTTCTTGTTCCTTGTTTAAGGTTTTTCCTTTAGAAACGGATTCTTCCATTTGAACAATGCGGTTGTATTTCTTGCGAAGGGCACGGAGGCGCTTGTTGATCACGCTCCGTACTGGTCCTTCGGACACGTCGGACGCCGCCATTGGTGGTGCCGGGAAGTGGTGGAGGAGGACAAGGTTTTCTAGAGAGTTCCGTGAAGGGTTTAGGTAAAATGGAAAGAGGTTCTACTGAGTGGATTGATTTATCAATTTATTATGGCATGATTTCGAGGAAAAACCAAATTAATCCTTTAGGTAGTAGAGTAGGAATATTTTGGTCCTTAAAATATAAATATGAATACGAATAGTCCTTCAAGTTTGTAATTGGAGCACAATCCCGGACTTAAAGAACTCTTTTAGTGAGCGTTTGGACATAAGAATTGTAAAATTCCAAAAAGAAGTTAAATTTGTTTTAAGTGAAAATGGTATTTGAAAATTAGAGTTTGTTTGAATATGAATATAATTTTGAGTTATTTTTGAATTTTTGTGAGTGATCTAAGTGAAAATTTTGAAAAACGTCTTTTTGGAGTTTTTCAAATTTTCGAAAATTTCAAAATTCATTTTCAAGTAAAAATTAAAAATTTTATGGCGAAATACTGATTTCGAAAAAAAAATCGAAAAAAGGTAAAAAAATTCTTATGTCCAAACGGGCTCTTAGTTTCGAGCACTTTCATTTTTACATTTTATCTTTGTTTTTTTGGTTCCAAAAGATGATGGATATTTGGACGGGGGGATTACATTTATCTTAATTAGTATCTTATGATATGATGTTAACTCTGCTGCATATACATAATCTTTTATTTTTTTATAAATTTTGATATGAAAAAATATATATTCTTACAATTTTTGTTTAATATTATCACAAAAAGTTAGATTTGTAACAATTATCTCGGTGAGTCCTATAACAACTGTAAAGCATGAATTTAGTAGTAAATGGGAAAACAGGGTTGTACTATTCAAAACGATCGGTTGGGTCGTTACAAAACGACCCCTCAAATCCCAAATTCTAGTTCTCCAATTTCAAGCCCTTGTTCTTCAATTTTAGGCTTAATTTCAATGATTAATTAGGTAGATACATTAGAATCGAGTATTATGTCCATGAATCTTACCTCCAAGTGTTTTCCCTTGAATCCCTCTTCAATCCTCTTCAAAAAGCTCCAAAAATGCTAAAAAATGGTAGAAATAAACCCCAAAATCGCGGACAAGACGACTATTTAAACATTCTGCCCAGACCTCATTTCCTTCTTCGTGAACGCGGTCAACGCCTCGCGTTCACAAAGCACAAATCAACTTTGACAAAAATTTCTTCTTTGCGATCTCGACAAGCCCATCGCGAACGAGATGGCTCCTCAGGTTGACCCATCGCGTTACCTCTCTCGCAAACGCGATGAATAAAATACCTCAAGCCCAGCTGATCAAATTCCTCTACGCGAACGCGGAGCTTCCCTCGCGAACGCGATGCATAAACATCCAGCCCTTTGCGAATGCGGAGCCTTCCTCGCGAACGCGAAGGCCAAAATCAAAGCCTTCTCCAGCTAACCCTTCGCGAACGCGAGGACCTACTCGCGAACGCTAAGGTCTAATTCTCTGCAATACTTCAGCAGTTTTTCTGCAATTCCAAACATCATGAAATAGTCCGATTGACCACCCGAAACTCACCCAAGGCCCTCGGGACCTCAACCAGACATACCAACATATCCCATAACCTCATTTAAACTTGTTCCAACCTTCAGAATGCTCAAAACAACATCAAAACTCCAAATACGCATCAGATTCAAGCCTAAGAATTCCAAAATCTTCTAAATTACGCTTTTGATAAAAAACCCAACCAAACCACATCCGAATGACCTGAAATTTTGCACACACATCCCAAATGACACAACGAAACTACTGCAACTCTTCGAATTCCATTCCGACCCCTATATCAAAATCTTACCTACAACAACAACAACAACAACAACAACGACCCAGTATAATCCTACAAGTGGGGTCTGGGGAAGGTAATATGTACGCAGACCTTACCCCTACCCCGAGGGGCAGAGATAATGTTACCAGGAGACTATCGGCTCAAGAGACAATATATTAGTATCATCAATAGACTCATAATAAAATAACAACAATATAAGAGATACGAAATACGGAATACGAAATACGAAATAGATGGATGGTATAGTAAAAACCAGCAGATAAAGCCCTGCATCACTAGACGACCAGTAGCATCCTCAGACTAACTCCTAACTGGCTAGTCTCACTCTATTGTGCTGTAGAAATGTTCACAACTTTATGATTAGAAGTGGTTTACTAAAGTTGCGGCCATATTGTAACTGATCCGTCCCCGTTTTGAGTACTAGGTTTCCTTTTTGTGTTTCAAGATATTTTATAGCTCTATTTGATGATTTATGATTTGCGTGTATGGTACATGTCGTTTTTTGAAAAATTTAAAAATATTTAAAGAAAATATGATTTTTTATTTTAGAAATGACTAGAGTTGACCATAGTCAATATTTTTGATAAATCGATCCTAGATTGGTATTTTGCTAATTCCGGTAGGTTTGTATGATGATTTTTGACTTGTACGCATGTTTGTTTGGGGTCCCGGTTAACCCAAAGTCGTTTCCGCGCATTATATGAAAAGTTGGCAAAATTGAGTTTTAAGTTAAAATGAGTTTTGATAATTGATTCTTATTGTTTGATGTTATTTTGGTGATTTGAGTGAGCGTGCGAGTTTATATAATGTTATTATACTTGTGTGCATGATCATATTGGGGTCTGAGGTGCCCGGGTGTGTTTTGGATGCTTAGTAGACTGATTTTTTGGCTTAGGAGGAAAGTTAGTGCACCAAGTCTGCAGGTCTCGCATTTGTAGAACCTGTTCGCAAATACAAAATCAGGCTTGCATTTGTGATGTTGGAGGGGGGTGGTTCAGATTCGATTTTGCGAAGCTCTTTCAGCAAATGTAATGGTAAAGCGTTTCGCTTTTGCGGGGTTCATGTCGCATTTGCGACTGTGAGAAATTTGGGGCAGACTCGCATTTGCGAGGTATTGACCACATTTGCGGACTGCCCAATCATCGCAATTGCGATGCTTTCATCATTTTGGCATTATCAGCAGGCTCAGAAAAGTTTTCTTTTATGAACAGTTGATCGCTTTAGTGATCATCACAATTGCGAACTCTAGTTTGCAATTGCGATATCTGCAGCTGGTAAATTGTGAGAATTTTGGGACTTAGCTCATTTTACACCATTTTTCAACCCTAACATCCATTAAGGCAATTTTTGAAGAGGATTTTCTTCGCAAATTTACTGTTAAGATTCTTTAACTAGTTTTCCATCAATTTCAACTACTTTTTAATGAATTTGAACATCAAATCTATGAATTTCAAGGTAGAAATTAGGGGTCTTGAGTAGAATTTAAGAATTTTATAAAATTGAGATTTAGACCCCAAATTTAGGTTGAATTTTGAAACAAATTATATATCCGTGCTCGAGGGTAATGGGTAAGCGTGATTTGGTCCGAACCTCGGATTTTGATCACGTGGGCCAAAATTGACTTTTTGTTGACTTTTGAGATTTTGCCCATGGTTAAACCTTTATTGATCGAGGATGTTTCATTAGTAATGTCTAACTTTCTTAGATGATATTTGACTAGGTTTTGACCGTTTTGAGGAGTATTTCTAAGGGAGAGGGTATTGGATTGTGATATTATTCCGGAATGAGGTAAATGTTCTACCTAGCTTTGTCTAGGGAATTTTTCCTCTGTCATTCAAGAGAGATCCTGAAGGCTTAAACTTTTTACTAGCTTTGAAACATGGGCCGAAGGAAAGAGGAAGACCAAACAAAGTTGCGGTCAAAGTAAAGAAAAAGATGCCAAAAAAGATACACTTTAGCTTCTATCTCTCTTAGCTTAGTGGAGGTTTCTTGCAAGACTTTCGATAGCTGGCTTGGCCAAACGGAATCACCGATCAAGATAGAAGGGCCATGCGGGGGTGATGCATATACGAGGTGACGGGTATCTATACATGTGCCAGTGTGTCCATGCTCGGGAGGGGGAATTATATGCTTCCTTGTACCTTGATGAACTCTATGATTTTATCGTCTTAGGTTTTACTTGATTTCTGTAATCATACGAGTATGAATTTCAATGCTAGAAATCATGATTCAGCCAATGACAACTTGATTATATGTGACAGGCTCTTTGTGAAACTGTTGATGTGCTAAATTCGGTCACCACTATACCAAATCACAAATACATGTCTATGACCGTTATTCTGAGATATTTAGGTTCCATACTTATGTTAAAGATTAAGTTTGAGCTTTGTCGAGATACTTGCACAATAGAGTTCTTGAAGTTCATTGAATTGTTTATTGGCACAAGAGATGTGAGTGGGATTCACATGTTGTATTTTCTTAACCACTCTTCTTGATGTTATTCATGTTTCCTACCTTGCTTATTGTTGATATACATGTGGTTAGTGAGGAAGAGTGTACAAAACTAAGGATGATATCATACCATTTCATATATATTATCATGTGAGGAGAAGTGCAAAGCACGAAGGAGATGTTGTGCCATTGCATATACATTATCATGTGAGGAAGAGTGTAAAGCACGGTGATGTCGTGCCATTTCTTATACATTATTATGCACGAAGGATAATGTCGTGCCATTATTTTTATATTATCATGTGAGGAAGAGTGTAAAGCACGGTGATGTCGTGCCATTTCTTATACATTATTATGCACGAAGGATAATGTCGTGCCATTATTTTTATATTATCATGTGAGGAAGAGAGTAAAAGTACGAAAGGTGATATCGTGCAAGTTTTATTATTCATGGTACGAAGGGTGTTTCCGCACAGGCGAGGACGAGAGACATGCATTATATTGTGCTATCTTTTTTTGCGTATATGATTATGCCTTTATCCCGAGTTGCTATTATTGCACCTTGTTTTCTATGTTACTTGTGGTGTCACATCTTTGCTTTCTACCTTATTTGTTATTGTTCTATCCGTGCCTTCTATTTGTTAATTTTTTAACGTTCATGCCTACCTTCTTGTTGTTATATCTACAACTATGCCTTTTGCTCGTTTGTCATGGTTTCACCTAAACCTTCTACCTCGCTTGTTGTTGAAATCTATGTTCTTCTACACTACTTGCTATCACTACTTCTGTGCCTTCAACCTCGTCTGTTAT